CTCCAATGCTGTTGCTTCTTCTGTTGATCCTTGAAGGTTGTGTGGTTAGATTAGCTGAATTAAGATTTGCATGAAAGATGTCAAAATTGTGTATTGTTCTAGGCTTTTTATTGGCTTGTGTTGAGAGCTTTCTTTGTTATCCAAGTAAAATACCATTTATCTATTCCAAGGAAAATTGCAATCCAAATCTTTTCTCAGAGATCAACACAAGAGTTATATATTGTTCTCTAATCAACTTCAGAGACTAATAGAGGTCAAATGATTGTAGAAAGCTCCTCACACATAACAAAAAGACATTGTCATGTTAAAACCATATCACCCAAAACTAAAAGAAGACATGAACTAAGCAAAACTCTAGAACTACAATGATCACTAGCAAGCAGCTGGTTTAGATAGACCGAAAAAACCAACTGAGGCTATGCATTTGGTTAGGGCTGGACACGAGCCGAGTACTTGCTAATTTTCAAGTACTTTTGACCCGGTTTGGCTTGTTCAAATAACAGAAAAGCTTCGGCTTGATACTTGACTCGTCCGAAGCAAATACTTGTTATATCAAAGTACTCGTCCAAAATTTTATTAATTGCAAGTAAATTGACTCCACTTGTTACTTGCCAAAATTATATACTTGCTATTTGAAACTACTTAAATATAAAAATAATCTCCATGTAATTTACAAATCATTCAAAGTTCAACATTCTAAAATCATAAAATATTAAAGTTTCAAAAGATAAAAATTTAAAAACAAGTTTTTGGTTCAATGCTCCACATCATAGTAGTCTTGATTTGTTTTTTTTTTACCTATAAAACCACTAAACCAACCTAACAAATGTAAGAATGATCATAACACATACACATGTAAACCTGAAAATGATTTGGTTTGGTTATGCCGTCAATGTCAAAGACCTTAATCAATGAGTATCAAGTAATACAAACGAGTATGAAAATCTTTTTATGAATATTATTAACAAGTTGTGTCAAGCCGAGTAACGGGGCAAGTAGTAAAAACATTTTACTGACTTGATACTTGGCCCGGACTTACAAGTAATGTAATATGTTGACTTGTTACTTGACTAGCCAAACATATGAGAAATCGAGGAAATAATTGAACATAGGTGAAAAAGATAGCTTCCGAAGAATCCCAGGGAGTACCTCCAGCCCTATACAGAACATGTAAAGACAAACCACACCAATCAATTTTCAATCCGTACAAATCTCAAATGGTTTTCATATATTATTAACAAGCTGTGTCAAGCCAAGTAGTAAAAACATTTTACTGACTTGATACTTAACCCGGACTTGCAAGTAAAGTAATATGTTGACTTGTTACTTGACTTGGCCGAGACAAGTACTTACTTTTTCAAGCGGAGTAACGAGTATATATTCGCAGGCCTACATTTGGTCTATTGTAATCAAACCGGTTCGGTATATGTAAGCCACAGGAAAGATTTTCTTTCCCCACTTCAAAGCTTGCAATTAAAAAATGAAAATGTTGATGGTGTATGAGCTGTAGTTACCTGCAACTTTTCTTTCTCATGAAGTTGGGACTTAACTAATACTATTCCAAAACAGCATCAGTAATCACGTGTACCTATCATGTGATCCTAATCTCAAATCACATATATCTCCATGGCTAAATACGTGTGAATGTATGTGTGTATATATGAGGACTAATCACCAGTGAATGATCTAGAAAATCATTAGATTTAAGATAAATATCATAACCATCTGAAACACAATTGGGGAAAACATAAAAATTATTGGCACAAGCACAACAGTCAAACGAGAACACGTGATTAGATCCCAAAAGTCTCTTAGAGCAATAATATATTCTACAAAGTAACAAGCTTCTCAACCTCTCTCTCTTTCTATAACTCAAACATGGCTCTATAAAGTATAAACCCAAGAGTTTTCTAAGTTGCAAGTCTCAGGAACACAACAACCTAAGAGCTCCAAGATCAGAACAGATCAAAAAAGAGAATTCACAATGAAGAGATTCCATACACCGGTATCGATTTCAGTAGCTCTGATTTGGTTACTTCTAGCTTTGTGTAGCAGCAAGAATAATGTAGAGGGTCGTCAGATGGCGCTAGCTTCCATGGATTTAGCTTCTAGTAAAGCTGTGAGAGATTTGGAGATAAACAAGGAGACGAAGGAACGGCCTGTAAGAGGTGAAAAAGATAGCTTCCGAAGAATCCCAGGGAGCACCTCCAGCCCTATACAGAACAGGTAAAGACAAACTACACCAATCAATTTTCAATCCGTATACATCTCAAATGGTTTTCATATATATCTATCTGTGAGTGTGAATGATTGACACAAAGATTGTGTATTTTTGTACCAGGAAAGGTCCCCTAGCAGATATAGGAGGAGGTAAGAAACAGAAGATCACAGCAACAGAACCATAGATTTCAATTTTTTTCTTAAATCCTTCTATTTTTGTTTTGTAGAATAGCGTATCTACACTTGTTTCTGATTGAAGTAATGTAACTCAAACATAAGAGATCATTTTTATAAGTTTGCTACTGTTCTATAGCTCCTAGAGTGGGCTTAGGCCTCTGTAGGTTCGTTTCGAGTATAATACGAAAAGACTGTTTTTAGTAGCATTCTTGTGAGAGTAGATCTAACTGAAACATAAGAGATCATCTTATAAGTTTGCTACTGTTCTACAGTTCCTAGAGTGGGCTTACCTCTATAAGTTTGTTTGGAATGTAATACGAAAAGACTGTTTTTATTAGGATTCATGTGAGAGTAGATCTAGCCAGAAAGGCTTCAACTAAGCAGTAATCTTCATTAAATAATAGATTGAATAAGGTATGTATAGTAATCTTCATTAAATAATAGATTGAATAAGGTATGTATCCAAGAAATGAGAAAAAATGCAGCTTGACTAAATATATGATAGAGTAAGCAATCTAACCTTCAAATTCTCAATTTATTTGTGTGGCGATTCTTTCCAGTCATCTCGCCAGAAAGGAAAGGTCTTTTTTTGTTGGTAATTGGTTTATCTGTTGCTTCACTAGTTTTGTTCTTCTTCTGTTTCGTCGTTTTTTCACCTGCAAAAGGTTCATCCTTATCCCTAGCATGTTCTTCTCGGTGGCGCTTAAACCCGGAAGTAGGACGATGTTCATTCTCTTTCCTTGTGATCGTTACTTCCATTTCTTGAGATGCATCCTCAGATGCGTCAGAAACAAAGGTGTTCTTTGGAAAATTTGATTTGCCAGACCCAAATGCAGAACAAAATTCGTTATATGTCGATTGCTTAGCTTCTTGTCTTGATTTCCACTGATCAGGTCTTCTGGCATAACTGCAACAAAGCAATGATTCCATAGCATTTCAAAATATGAATGAGGTAAAAGATGCAAAAGAGTACATGCATGCATCAGCACTACAGATGCCACCTTTTCACAGGCAGTATGATTACTAAATCCCCTTGACTTAGTCTCTTCATAGGACATATACTTCTTGATGTGTTACAACTTCCGTCAAACAAGCAAGGTAAGTTTGAGAATAAGATCTTACCCATCGATATCTAGTTTCCTAAGCAGAAAAGGCCCTTGCTTTGTATTCAAGAGATCAGCTCTCACATCCAACAGTTCATTTGCAATGGCTTCCCTTAGTGTCAAGTTACATGCATCGAAGCACTTCTCGACAGTAAATGAACCCGACGTGTGTAATGAGAGCTCGCTAAAATGTCCACGTAACCTGTGATGGAATAATCGGTGAAAAGAAAAATCATCAGAATCACAAACAAATTGCTTGGAAAAAAAAACCCGACAAGTAGCCCAAGAGTCTGAATGAAGAAAAAAAAGAATAAAAGAAACATTCTAAAATTTCCAACATAATTCCCTATATGCTTCAGTTTTGGGTATTGTAATCATATAAACAAAGCTACACTGTGGACTCTACCCGTCTTGAAATAATCAAATAGCCATATAACATAAAGAAGCAGAGCATACTTTATAATTAGTCTGCGTTTCTGTTTCGTAGCAGCATTTGAGGCAAGAAAGGCCTCGATGACACGTGCTCCGCTGGAATCCTTTGCTGTTTCAATGGTATGCTCCGCTTTCATAGAAGCAAAGCTTTTTATGTATGGCTGTATAAGATCCTGTGAGAATTGAGCGAACGTTGGGAACTACTGTGAGCAGGCATGAAGAGCTAAACTTGGAAATTAAAGCCAATAACACTATTTTTGTCACCACAAGAAGAAAAGGAAACATACACTAGAAAACTTGAAAATCCCCTGAAGAATCAAACAACCCATGACATGCATCTTTGCACCAGGTGCCCACTCCCATGAAGACTTATCTTGGCAACCAAAGTAGTTATCAAGAAACAACAACCGGTGAACAATGAAGATACGAGATTCATTTGTGGAGCATACTGCACCAGCAAGGGCCTCACAACACTGTCAAAACAACAAGAATCATCTGTATAATTATCCTAATGAAAACAATTTTTAAAACTAGAGTAAACATAAATTTTGAGCAAGTATTTAGAAAACGTAAAAACCTTATGTTCATGACTTTGAAGCCTTTGGCTAACCGCTATCAGAGAAGCCACAACACCTGACTTCCCTTGTTCAAGAAGATCCTTGAATCTTGGAGCTAATTCTTCCCATATCAAACCAACCTTGCAAATAAAAGCAACTGAACGTAAGTTTATCGGCTTTAAGGAAATAGCACATATACATTCAAGGCTAAAAAGACCTGGAGTGAAATTTTGCTGACACAACAGAAAAAAAGATGATCTGTCAGTAGGATAAGAATACCTGCTCTTGGTCTCTTGCATGTGAGATTAATGCTTGAATAACGAAATTTGCACACCGGTCAAGTGAAAGCTCAAATAAAGAGTCCTTGAAAACTTTATTGAACATTTCGTTATACAAACTTTCAGGGGCCACTTCCAAAATCACCTGAGAATGGCATGCACATACATTTAAAAAGACAACTAAAGGAAAATAACACTCCAATTACAGCACTCAAACCCAACAGATAACTGGCAATCATATACATTCTAGATAATGTTTTGCATGGTTTAAAGCAGGCAATATGTCCATAACCAATTTTTATTTGCAATAAACAACTCGGTCAGAGATTAAACTTAGTTACCTCCACCAAATGACTAAATGAATTATCCTTCATTGACTCTAAAATTTCCTTCGCGATATCGGTCTCTATATGAACCCCCTCTCCATTTTTATTTGTAGAGTTGCAGCCCAGAACAAGAGGAATGATTTCAAGCAATTCCTCATCTTCTTTTTGCATTAGTCTGAGAGCCGTCTGTTAAGAGAATATTAGTTAGCTTCACCGTGAACCAGAGAGAAAAATATAAATAACATCCAATACTGAAATAGTTGGTTGAAAACAAAAGACTAGACAAGGACATAAAACACACCTGTAAGACCAAACTGCTAAACTGGTCAACTTGTAGATACTTCATGTCTTCTCTGCTACAATTTAATAGCCCAGATAAAAGAGACTTGAGCACATCTGGAAACCCTTGATGAGGGACTTGTAGATTATACTCATCTAACTGAGACATCTTCACATTCATACGTTTCGCCAGAGCTTTTGATGATTTTGCGCCATGAAGCTCAGGGGAATCTAAAGAGACTCCTTTGCAAAGACAAAGAAGCCTTCGAAGAACATGAGAACCATAGCAGTTGCACATCATATCAAGAGGATTATCCACAATCACCTGACCAAGGGAAATATTTTGCCGTCACAATCTAGTTCGATTACCAGTTTCATAACAAGAAGCAAGCTTCTGGATACCTCAATATGCTTGTCATAACAAAAATTGCATAAGTACCTTGCATATAGAAATCAAAGCCTCCTCAATAACAGAATAGGCATCTGGGTTTTCCAGATGTGTGGCCAAGGATTTGAGAGCTGACTCTGCAACATGAGACCCAGATCTATCCATTGCAATGGCTGGGAAGACCGTTGCAGAATTTCGTACGAAACTACAAAGTTGGTCAAGTTCACATCCCTCAAGTAGAGTTTGCAAGACATGACTTATGATATAATCAGTTGCAATTTCATATTCCCTCCCTCTTGTTTCTTCAAGAGCATTCCCACATATCACTGAACGTTCCTCTAAATCAACTTCATTACTATCAAAGAGATTGGCAATCTCAGAGAAATACTTTGAAGTTTCTGGATCAATCTCTTTCCTGCAAAAGGTTTACCCAATTCCACTACAAATTAGAGCAAAGACAAAGTCAAAACCTAGTTAGGCATCGAATTCAAAGTCTCCTTTACCTGACAAAATGATTCTGATGTTCAAATTCGGATTGTTTCTTTGACGCAGGCTTTACATTAGCGGCACCACCGGATTGATTCCTTTTGTTACTATCTCCATCAAATCCACGGCTTCCTTTTTGGGCCTTCCTACACATTCCCTTTCTACTTGAAGTACGATTGTCGCTAGACTTTTCCCGTTCACCCATCAAGTTATCTTCCTCAATAATGGTCTTGTGCCTCCTAGATGGCAATGATTTGGAACCAACTGAAACCATGTAATTACTATCCAACTATGTGAAACCTCAGTTAAACCCTACAAAAACAAAAAAAACAAATTACACAGTAAACACAAAAACTGAACTATCAAAGAAGCAGACCATAACACTCACAGTAATCAAGAACTATATGTCCCAAATGACACAAATATACAGGCTTAGGAAAAAAGGGAAAAAAAACAAAAAAAAGTTCAATTTTTTCTCCAAAAAAATCCATCATGTTCATAAAGACAAACATGGGCAATACTGTACCCAGCTCTAGATTCTAGCTTAAACTCAAAACATAAGGACCAGGGCTGATTCAGAAGATGTGCAAACTGTTCAATAGCCTCAAAATTAGGGTTTCTACTTCAACTGGAGGTAGGTTTCAGTTACTTAAAACATGACAATCGAACGGGAACACAAACCTGAGGATGCGAAAACAAAGTTGGTGTAAGAGGAAACGCCGAAGAAGCTTTGTTCTTGGACGGAATGAGACAGAGAACGCGGCGTAGAGAGAGATGAATCACAATCAGAAGACAGAAAACGACGTCGTTTCCTCTCCTTACTCAAACTGGTCCCCTTGCGTTTTAATCAAAACAAGTTTTTTATAATTCCTAGGGTTTTTCTCGCCTTGCGTAAACCGATGTCGTTTATTAGCTGGGCTTTGTAGGCGTAGTCGAGTAGCCCGACCCATCTTCACTATGAAAATA